TGGGTGTGTATGCATACACATGTGTAGATCAAACTGGCTTCCAAAATTGTTTTAAACCCTGAGAAACTGCTTCTATTTTTATATCCATAAAATGGATCCAAAATCTAATTTTCTATAGAGATGCAAACTTTTTTGTAATTGGTTAGAAAATAATTTCATACTGGCTCATGAAAAACTTTTTCTTGAATTTGTGTGAGTGGAGAAAGGAGTTATTATTCTTATTTTCTAAATGGTTAAAGAATAATATGTATATTTGCCCTAATAATTATTGTTTATCAAACAAATCTTCTGATGGAATTCTATTGGTAGAAAATTATATATAGGATTCAATTCCTATAGCATGTCAGTTTCACACTTCAATGTAGTTTTCAGACTTGGTCTGAAACTGAGTCATTATACAGTTTTGTTTTTTATATCCCCCCTATACACACATAATATTCTAAATGTTATTTTAGTGAATATACATGTTTGAGTAGACACCCTATTTTTCTTATATTTTTAATCAACTGTGAATTATGTCTACTGATTTGAGAAACTTAATAAAGAAGATGAAAAGGTGTATATTCTTTGAAAAGGGCAATTGAACCTTGCTAAGTTGTAACATTCCTTCTGGTTAAGTGGTCTCTTAAAGCATGCTGGATCAGATTGTGGTTTCCCCTACAAAGAGGGACACAAGTTTGAACCCTGTTAGAGAGTTCATTTCTCTTTATTAGATCTCTTGAATGCCCAGGCTAGTAGATGTAATTCACAATGGTTTCTTTGTTTGTTTTTTTTAAAAAGAAGAAAAAAAATTATTTAAACCTATGTATCCACTAAAAGGTAATATGCTTAAATTAATAAGAATCAATGTTAGATTAAAAATATTTCATTAATTCCTTTGAAATTATATAGGTGTTTATGTTCATATACAAATGAGTAAATTATACCCTCCCACCGCCTAAAATAAGATCTAATATACTTTATAATACATTTTTTGGTATTTGCTTAATATCAGGCAAAAAGATTGTTGATTGCTGTGAGATTAATTGTTACTTATGATTGTTTTTTTGTCTCCTTCATTTTAAGGTAGAAAGAAAATCAAATAGAATCTTTTTTTTTTTTTTTTTTTATTTTTTTTTTTTTTTCATGTAAAACTCTTATTTTCAAGATCTATATTTCAATGAATTTTCATTGAAAGGGTTAGAGAAATAAAAAACTAAGTGAATATGTCTCCTAGCTCTAGGTTGTACTCTTCTTGGCTGGGCCAAGAACCTTTCAACACATCCTTATGTAATATATGTAATATGCCATGTATACTTGTATATTTTTCTTTGTTGCTATTTGCTGTACTAGAATTATCTCTCTCGCTCAGGAGACATCAGGTAGGAGTGTATTTCCTATGACAATAGCTAACTTGTTAAAGATGCTCATGAAGTCAATAAGTGAAAAGTGACTCCATGAAAGAGTTGAGAACAAAAATAACAATTAGAAAAAAAGTATATTTAAAGACTCACATGTAAAAGAATCATCTAATAATATAAAGAACCTAGCAGAATATATTTTATATACATTATCATTTTTTATAACATAGATAAACTAATTTATAAGATGTGCCAGATATTTGAGAATAAATTACACTCTGCAGAAAAAGATAAGCATATTATCAAAAAGAATTTCTACACAAAGTTGATTCAATAAAACAACACTCAGCCTAAGGACAACCTCAGAAGCAACTGCATGCCTGGTGTTTTTTTATTAGCCATCATGTCCATGATGGCAGCCTGCAATGAGTCCTTGGTAATTTGGGGCTGCTAGTTGGTCTGCCTCTCAATAAAACTTCAGGTATTGTCATTCAAGATATTTTATATCAGGATGGAATATATTGATTTGACATGATCATTAAAATCTTTAGCCAGTCATTCCTGAGTCATTTGAAATGGAGAAGAGTCTTACAGGAAGAAGTTGGACAGCATGACATGACCTATGTTGCTCATGACCTTCAGAGCCATTATCAATGATGTGATCTTGGTGTGCATCACCATCAGTACCTCTGCTAGTTTCATGCATAGGCATATGTCATTCCTCCTCTTCATCTGGTTACTTTCAAGAGGCTGTCTGCCTGCAAGTCAATGGTTGACATGTCTTTCCATTTCCTTTGTCAAATTGTAAGTTGTAATGTTAATGCTCTGAATAGATCTGAAAGAGAAATGATCATTTTGAAATTTGGTCTATGCTATGTAACATTACATGAGATTGTCTTCCATTTATGACCCACAAAAAAAAAAAAAGTTCTGAAATACTGAGCATGTCATATATATATATATATATATATATATATATATATATATATATATATATATAAATATTTGGCCCTTCAAAAAGTGTGGATGGTTCTGCACAGAACCTTCACCACTATAATCAAATCTCATGTGCTGGTGTCAGGCTGTAGGTGCCTAGCAACTGATCTGCTTGACCCCATACGTTGAATTCAACAGGAGGGTTGAGTATATATACATATATATATATATATATATATATATATATATATATATATATATATATATGGCAGCATGGTAGAGTAATGGATAGTGGCTCGAATTGACAAATCAGAGAGCTGAGTTCGAATTGCAGTCAAATCCATTACATTCACTTACGTGCTAATACCCTTGGGAAAGGTATGAATCCTCCTCTTCTCCCCCAGCTATGGGTAAATAGCAGGGCAAACTGGGTTTTATAGTCTTAGATGGCAACTGCTCTAGGAGAACAACTCTGAATTCAAAACCTGTGAAGGGTCATTTGGGGTCCTTGTGGTATGTAGTGCACCAAGTCTCTGTATTCAGCCCTTCAAAAAGTGTGGTTGGTTCTGCACAAAGCCTTCACCGCTATAATCAAATCATATGTGCAGTGTTTGGCTGTCGAATCCTAGGAACTGAGTTGCTTGACCCTCATACGTCAAATAGGATGAGAGAGTTCAGCACACACACACGTGTGCTTATATATGTGTATGTATATGTACGTATATATATATGTGTATGTATATGTACGTATATATATATGTGTGTATATATATATATGTATATATATATGTGTATGTATATGTATATATATATATATATATGTGTATGTATATGTACGTATATATATATATATATATGTGTATGTATATGTACGTATATATATATATATATATGTGTATGTATATGTACGTATATATATATATATATATATGTGTATATATGTATATATATATATATATATGTGTATGTATATATATATATATATATATGTGTATATATGTATATATATATATATATATATGTGTATGTATATATATATATATATATATATGTGTATGTATATATATATATATATATATATGTATGTATATATATATATATGTATATATATATATATATATATATGTATATGTACGTATATAATATATGTGTATAGGTGCCTATATAATATATGTACGTATATAATGTGTGTGTGTGTTCGTATAATATGTATGTATAATGTGCGTATATAATATGTATGTGTGTATAATATATATCTGTATGTGTGTGTATATAATATTTATATGTCTGATTGTATATAATATGCATATGTCTGAGTGTATATATGTATATTTGTGTGTATATATGTGTGTGCATACATATGTGCACGTATATGTGTGTGTATGTATATATATATACACATCTATACGCACCATAGACTAAAAGTTTTGGATGATTCTATGGATGTAATAATAAGTTTTATGCCTTCTTTTGTTTAATTAACTCCTACCAAATTAAGATACTGAAACTCTTTAACCCATTAGTGCATGGCATCTGATTTCTTATAGAGGAGGTTACCTAAAATTTAAAATCCACCAGCCCCTAGCCAGCAAGTTAAATTAGGCAAAAAAAACTCAGATTTTAAGGAAACTTTATGCAGTCATGGGCTAATCTAATTATTATCATTGAATATATGATAAAAACCCTTTAAGAAGAGAAAGACCTTCTGGCCCAAAGTGAGCTAGTATATTAGTTTTGAAAAAGGCACGCAATCTTCAATAGAAATTATATTTGGTTATTCAATTTTAAATATTTCATCATATAGTTATTTTGTAAAGTTTATATAGTGACATTATTTTTGGTAATGTTTATGGCTGATAGAATTGGAATAGCATATCCACTGTAAAGTCTCTTTTCAGAATTGCTATCATCTTCTCACTAACTAAATAAGACTGATAAGCCTGTCTGATATGTTTTTCCAAAATCCTTACATGAGACAGGAAAAATCTACTCATTCAGACATTCTTAGTGCAATGGTCACACAGTACACAAGTTCATTCAGTGGCATTTCCTTTGTTCATGTATGTGCAGAGAAAGTTTTCTGTGATTGGTTGTCAAGTTACACCAAGGCTATGCAACTGGTTATCAAAATATTCAAAATGGATGGATACTTTTCATACAGACCTTGAATATGTTGATCTAGAAACAGAGTATATTTTAATGATAGCATATAGGTTTTAATAACATTCAAACAAATAAGATGAACCTTTATCTTATGCTTGTGCCTTTCTCTCACCCTTTACCTGTATCTTCTCATTTTCTCCCTCATCCTTTCTGATCTATATTGCTTATTCATATTTTTATCCAGATATTATTAAAACAGATTAGTTTCATGGGGATAAAAGCAAAAGGAATTTTACAAATAACAGGTTCTGTAAGCGTGGATGTGTGAATGGTGTAACAGATAATGACTTAAAATTAAAATTCAGAGAGGCAAGATCCAATTCCAATCAGGTTTGTTATATTCACTCAGAAGAAAATCCACCTCTTCTCCACCCAGCTATGGGTTAATTAGTAGGACTTGTACCAGTAAATCATTATTATCTCCAAAAATTTCTTAAAAATAGCAAATATTTTCTGGCTTTAAATAGTGGCAAAAAGGTTAAGCCATAAAAAACAAATCATTCAAAAATCACAATTTTGACATTCATCCCTACTTTTCTATCTTTTGCACTTTTGATCAAATCATGCTGAACTGAAAACACCAGTTCTCATTCAATCGTCAAAGTTAAGCAATGTCTAGCCCAGTCAGTACTTAGATAGGGGGACCACTTGGGAATACCAGGTACTGTAATCAATCTCCTACAATTCAAAATATTTTTCAGCTTTAAATAAGCTGTAAAAACAAATCAGTCTATGTTATCTAATCAGCAAGCTAACTGTCATCTCTATTCCCTCCTTGTTTTTAACTTTTCTGTGTAATATATTTGTATATCCTACATTTCCTCCTCCTAACATGCTTTCTCCTCCTCTACTCATTCCTTGGTTTTCTCTCCACTTAATATTGATATGTTGGTTTCTCAGTCAGAAAGGCAGAAGTGATTGTAGCTCTAGTAATTGAGGAGATACTACACTCTGATCCTAGGTAGAAAAGCATAATGGTCGTACATGCAGAATAATAGTATAACATGATAATTGTACCTTTGTTATCATGAACTTTGAAATGGTTTTGCACAAAGATTAAAAGACTTGGCAACCAAAGGAAAAATGGAAACCATCAAAACACACACACAGCATTATTAAAACCAATTGAAAAGGATGCAAGATTATTGAATAGGCTGCTGTCACTTGACCTCCAGTCAAAATCACCAAATACTGTTCATGTGAAAATTCACCCAGTGCAAACAATGATAGCTGAAGGTAATTAAAGGGTTATTTTTTATTATTATTATTATTTGACAATATAATGAAATAGAGGAAGATAATCATTATAAAAATGAGGGTGTATGCATCTTTGTATACTTTTATGAATGCCAAAATTAATCTAAAAAATCTTATTAAAATTAATTTCGAAAAAGTAATGTTAGAATTAGAGGATTACTTTTTAATAAGTTGGTATATTGTGCCTGCAAGGTTTGAATTATAAATTAATAAGAGAGATAAGGTAGCATTTTACTTTCTTGAAATTAAAAATATATTCAATTTGGACTTCTAAACATATTTGAATAATTTATTTTTATTTTTCCTCAATTAAACAGACTCTGATTTAATCTATATAATCTAAATAAAACTAACAGAAAATGTGTTACTTTTCTCATTCATATATATATATATATATATATATATATATATATATATATATATATATATAATCAAATGAATAAATATGAATGAATGTACATGTAAGTACTCACATACAAATACATACTACATACATATATCTTTTGGTGTAAGAAAAACAGTGGTCAATGCTAAATAACAGCTATTAAGTATGTATTAATAAAAATGCATAATACCCCATGGTGTGGAGTATTATATATAAGAAGAAAAAAATTTTTAAAATTAAATGGCAACCAACTGCGGGAAAAAATCTGCCTCGTCAGTAATGTATCGAAAGATACATGATTGCCTAAGCATGTATCACACATGGAACATAACTGAAATATATTACAGCTATCAGCCTGTACATTCAAGAAATGTCCTCTCTGGAAGGGATTGAACCTGCTTTCCCCTACAAAGTGTGATACAGACTTGATCCCTGCCAGAGAACACATTTTCTTTATTAAAATTTATTGAATGCATAGACATTGTTTAAGATAAAAAAAAATATAAAACTTGGGTGTTTATTTCAAATATGAGTATCCACTAATAATAACATTTGAAGTAATATATATATATATATATATATATATATATATATATATATATATATATATATATATATATATATGCGTGTCATGGATGGTGTAGACGATATTTATTAGTACACTTTGTAGAAAGTTAAAAACGTTTGCAAATTCAGAAGGTATTGCTAAATATTAACTTTTCACCAATCAGTTAAATGACTTAAGGCTCAGCTTAATTCTTTTAATATTTAGGAAATTTTCCATTCATCATTTATTTTTTCACTCCAAAAGAGTAGGTGTGAAGAATTCCTTAGGGATCTCACTATCAAATCCTTCTCTTCTTTGACCCCTCTTGTGACTATTCTACCTTTCCTCTCACACATGTTCTTTCTGTTTTTCTGGAGTCTCCACACCTTTGCTTTTATTCCTTTCTTCACCCTAGCAGCTATTTCCCTCTAATAATATCTATCCTACCTCCTTACTCCCCTAACTGCCCCATTACTTATTTCTTGCACGTCAGTGGTAAGGGTATCTCTTTATTTTTTTTTTCTCTTTCTCTCTCTACCTATTGGCATATCTAGGTCCAGCTACTGAAGATGAAGAAGGTGCTGTTACATTTTTTTTTTTCTTTTCAGTCTATATTCACTAACAGGAGTAATAGTCACACTGCCATCTACACACTGGCTCTATCTTCAATGTAGTTGTAGCAGCATCACACGGCTCTGAGAATGAAATCAGTGCCTCTCACCAGTTCTCTTCATCACTGTCTTTGTGACTGTTAGTGCCACCACTGCTTGCTTCAGGCACCAGAACATCAGATATATAGAGTTGGTTGCTTCAGATCTACAGCTGGAAATACTGAGTGTAGAAAGAGTGTGGGGTAGAAAAAGATAAGACAATCACACGGAGACACCCACTTATCTCTGTCGATACTGCTTTGTCTTAGCACCCTGTATTTTAGGCTCCAGTAAAATTGGAATAACCCAGATTTTACTGTTTTCTATGTATCTTAATTTCTTTTCTCTTATACACAAATATTCTCCATGCTGTTTTGTTTTTAAATGTCAGTAAAAATTATGTTGCAACATACTAAACAGCTACCTGTCTGTGAGTGATAATAATACTGACTATATTTTGTACACCAAGAGAGAAAAGGGAATTTTATGGCTTTTTTTTCAAATCTTACAAACTGAACCCTTGAAGAAAGCATGAACTATAAGAAATAGCATGTTGTATCCTGTTAGTTTAGCTCTAAATGTAAATCTATTTAAAAAGAATTAAAGTGGCTTAAATAAGAAAGTACTATTAAGTACAAGACAGAGTTTGTCAATTGAAATTAAAAAAAAAAAAAAAACCTATAAAAACAACTTCATTACTACTGCGGTATAACAGTGTTCTTTTGTATATAGATCTCCTTTCACTGGTATTGAAATATTTATTTACACATTTTCGAGATGTTTACATAGTAGTGTTGTTGGCAAAAAACTAACTTTTGTAGCTGGTCTTCATTTGTCCTTTACACTGGACAAGGAGTGGATCCAGAAGCTTTGTACACCAGAGCTTCTCCGGCGCCCACCGGAATTTGGGATGTCTACTCGGCAAGTATACATGTACATGTGTACTTCAGCACAAACGTTTCACCATTCACAATACAGCAGTTATAGTTTTAGAAAAACTAACTGTTTGGATGCTACTTTCTTTACCAGGTAAGAAAAAAAATATATATATATATATATAAATAATTTTTTTAAATTGAAAAATTTTCTTAATGTAAATAATTGATATATACAAATACAAAAAATTTCTCAGAGTTAATCTGTAGAAAAAAAAACAATATGTATAAAGGTAAAAGACAACAGGAAAACTGTATTATTAGCTGATGTGTTTCATCCAATGTGAACTTTTTCCATAAATTCATTTTGTTTTTTCCCTTGAAAAAGTCCACATTGGATGAAATGCATCAGTTAATAATACAGTTTTCCTATTGTCTTTTACATATATATATCTCAATTCTTTTTTGAATATATATTTCAAAGTTAAAAAATAATGATTATCACTGGATCAACAGTCAATGATTATTTTTAATTCTTTTGTGTTTTTCTTTATACATTATTTCTCTGGAAGCATTCAAAGCACTCTCATATAATATTTGTAAGATGTCACAAAAATGAGTTGAATAGAATTACCTAAAAATTTATAAATTCTGAATGACCTAATAATTATAAAATATACATATATAGTATATTAATTTGACTTATTTGTATGTATGTGTATCTATATATATATATATATATATATATATATATATATATATATATGTGTGTGTGAAGTGTTCTTACTATATAACACAACTATAATTTGGCAAGGATTATTTATGAAAAAATCTTAATATTCAACTGATGATTCATCCATACTTTTATATCATAGCATTATTTTGATTTGTAATCATAACTTAATCATTTATAATCATATATATTTCGGTGTGGGATCATCAAGGGACCAGTGTATCAAACAAGGATTTTTATATTTTAACATTATTTTGACTTGTCACAATTTAATCATTAATAATGAAATATCTTTAATTCTGGGGTCATCAGGAGATTGGCGTGCAAAACTGGAGTGTTTCAGTGTTAGCCTAGTACAGGTAACCTCTGCCCTAACGGAAGCCCAAATTCAAACAAAACCATATGGTGAATTTTGGAGACATTTTTTTGGAAGGAAAAAAAATACTGTATGGCAGATGATCTAGTTATTAAAGTTTGACTAAAGCAAGATAGAAGTTTTTTTTTTTTTTATAATTATAAAATTATTTAAACTTGTTTACAATGAATCAAAATGTTTTTAAGAATGAGAATTTATTGGAAAATAACTGAAATTTAAAATCTATTCAGTATCTGAATATTTTTTCCATATTATGGTGGTTTCTTTTGTATTAATCAAATATTTGTGAAATAGTTGTTATTGATATTTACTAATTCTAATAAGTCACAAGTGTTGGTGGGAGGAACTCATTAAGACTAAAATTCACTACCATAGTAATTTGTTGAGACAAGCTTACTAACCACTTTTGTTTGGTAAAGCAACCATTGATACCCACTAAGTTTAGCTTCATACAGCACAAATCTACAAGTGTACAACACTCAGTGAAGATCAAATTCACCCCAGTATTGATGGTTTATAAGATGAGCTTGTTAACCATTACTCCACAGCAAAGGAGTTTTGATAACTATAGAAACGTTTCCAAATATTTCTTTGAAATCTTTCTAGAATTATCACAACTCTTTTGGTGTGGAGTAATGGTTAACAATCATATTTAATAAATCTGTAGTTAATTTGATCATCACTGGGTGATCTACAGTCGTAACTTTATGTTGTGCATTTATAATATTGAATATCTCAAGAAATTCTAATCAAGATATCACCTTATGAACTTAGGTAATATCATTTAAATTTCTTAACAGCAAATTATAATCGCTAATTTGTAGGCTATATGAGATGTTGGCCAAAA